CCCACTGGGCAACTTGGTGAGACCTCGTCTCTACAATAAATCAAAAAAACTAGCCGGGCGTGGTAGTGCGCGCCTGTAGTTCCAGCTACATGGAAGGCTGAGGCGGAAGACCACCGGAGCCCAGCAGGTTGAGGCTGCAGTGGCCGGGAGCGTGCCACTGCACTCCAGTCTGGGCGACAGAGTGAAACTCCAACTCAAAAAAAAAAAAAAAGGCAAAATTGGCACTAGAACCCAGGCTTCCTAAAGCTCAATCAACTCTTTCCAGCAGGTCCTGCTCCCTTTTTAAAAATGAATCCTAAACCCCAGAATTTCTGGTAATCAAAGATATCTATGGATATTTCCAGAACAAACCCGAGTGTTTGTGATCACACTCACTGGCTTCATGTGGCTTCTCTCTCAGGTACCTCTCTGCTGAGGATGGTGCATTCAAGACTCTCAGGTCCACTGTGGCGTGGGGGGTGATGGCAGAGCACAGGGCACAACCTGAGGACTAGCCTGACATTAGTCACAGGTTCTGGAAAGAGGCCTGGATGCCCAGATCCTGCTACGTGACTCGAGTCAGGGAGATAGGCTTCCTGACAGGTGTACCCAAATGGTGATATGGAGGATTGCCATGTCATCCCCGAGGATCAGGTTGAAGAAATGAAAGCTGAGGTCTGACCGGGGCCTGGGTGCCTCTGCCCAGGCCTGGTACTAGTCCCACAGGGCTCAGGTGCTGGAACCAGAGTTGCCTTCCCTGCCCCACACCCTCCAGCCAAAGTCTAGCCATCTTCAGCCCCATATTTTACTCCCTGAGCTCCCAGCCACAGCCACCTCTCCTGCACTGTACACTCACAGTACAGGTGCCCATCACCCTCAGTGGGCACACAGCATCCACTCCCCCACCACACTGTCCCTGTGTGTGTGCCTATTTAGTGCTTTTCACAAGCACACCCAGGGTCTCCGTGTAGCTTCAAAGCTTTCAGTAGGCTGGGGCAGGCCTGAATCTCTGCTGACTCCCACAGGGACAAGTTGTGGGCTTTGCACAATGCATTCAGGAGAGGAAGATAACTGCCTCCCAGTGCCTAGCGTGGTGCTTGACACAGAGCAGGCACACAGACGTTCTCTGGGGTTTATTAGCAACTTGCCACATCCAGCAACAAAAAGAATTTATGTTAGGCAAACAGTATCAGATCAAGAGTTACAGAAAGAGGGCTTATGGACTCAAGGAACCCTGGGATGCTATATAACCGGTTAGCTTTTCTGAGTCTCAGGGAGTTCATCAGTACAAGTGTGAGTTGAGGATTGATGATGATGCTTTTGGCTCTAAAACTCTGATTTGATTATAAAATCATAAAGAGGGGGAATGCCCAAGCCATGTTTTCATCATTCTCTTCTCCTGCCTTTCAGCATGGATTGAACAAACCCTAGTAGGAGATTGTGCTTGCATCCAGGCTCAACTGAGAGCACTACCCTTTCCCCAGTCCAATGCATTTGCAGGAGTGAAAGTGGAAAAACACACTTCAGCCCAAAGCAATGGCTTTGGATACCTCAGCCCAAGTTACATAAAATAGGAGATTCAGAAACAGAGACCCTTTCGGCCCAGATAATTGAAACCAGATACGATGGACAGGAAGCTATGGAGTAACAGTCTCATCTCCTGCTATTTAGGTTAAAATCCTTCCCCACCCCTCACCTTTGCTGCTTGAGCCTTTTGCAAAGAACAATGATTCCTACTGTGAGCTCAAAAACCCAGCACCACGCCTGGGCTCCAGGCCTTTCTCCCTCACTTTCTCCTCTCTAAGGCTTCTCGGCTGTGCATCGGAGGGGAGAGAACATGACACCCGAGGCCCTTCTGTGTGGCACCATGGCCCACACTCCCCCCTTTCCCAAGCAGTGGGCCTCTAGGGGTGGAGGCAAGGTCAACACTTCCCTGGCAGACAGGGCAGCACAGAGAGAGTTAACAGTGAGCAAGTGTTTGTATCTGCCCCTGTGACTGGGATACACAGCCCAGGTCCTGGGGGCCTGCCAGGCTGGCCTATTGTCTGGCACTGTTTGCCTTTGGGGCAATGGGTGCCCTGGAGTAGGGAGGGAGAGGAGAGCCTGGGGTGGGGGCTGGGAGCATGCCACAGCGCCAGACCAGAGAGCCAGTCTTGGAACCACAGGCCTGGAGGCTGGTTTGTGAAGCCTCTGAGTAACAGTCACTGGAGCCGAGTGCCTGCCCACTCAGCTGTCTGCGGGCTCAGAGGACCAAAGTATGATGGGAACTTCTCACCCAGTCTGAACCATTATCTTCCCTCTCCCAGGTCCCTCAGTCCCCAGATCATTTCTCAGGGCTCTCCATTCTCCTACCCCTGCATACACAGACCCCCTCACCCCAACCAAAGAAGTTAAGGAAGATGAGGAGACGCTGCACATGCTGCCTAGGGGGTGCAGAGAACCTGCTTCTGGGAGACATCCAGAGCTGGTCTGCCCATCGTCACAGGTGGCTTGGTTTACAAAGTCTGATCTTCCCACAAAGGTTGATCAGTGCAACCTGATGCTTGTGTTTGCCCTTCAAATCCTGTTCATCCACAAGAGATCTTTGTCAGTGCTGCATCTCACTAGACACACAGAGCTACCTGCTCAGCTGTGCTCTAACTCAGGCTGCCTGGGTCCAGAGCCCTGTTACCCAGAGCTGTGGGATCCTAAGCAAGCTACTTCCTCTTGGATCCACTACATCTGTCAGATGAGGGTTTGATTTCTAGATCTCTAAGGAACTTTCCAGCTTCCAAGTGCCATAGTCATAGTGTAAGGACTTTAAGCCCTCTTACACAACGGACTTAAGTAATTAATGCAATTAATTACAGTAATGCAACAAAAAGGATGTGCACCTTTGGGGAGAGACTATTTGAGCCACCAATGAATACATGGTTCTATTTAGGGATTTATACTACACTTTGTACAAATACCACACTATGATATGCATGTTGTATATTATCACACTTTGTGGTATGATACACATTTTGGAGTATATTCTACACTCTGTGCATATACCCACTTTTGGGACATATACTTTGAGATATATATATATCAAAGTGTATATACACATACACACACACACACATTAGGCCATTTAGACACTGGGATATGTACACATTTGTGCATATCTACATCCTGGAATATATCCTACACCTTGCATATATAGCACACGTTGTGTAGAGAAATCACTGCTGGGAGCATACTGAGAAGTGTTCATCCTGAAACTCTGTAAAGGCTCTGGGATTAAGAGCAGAGTCCCTGGAATCAGATAAAACTGGATACTGTGAATTTCCACCACGTGTTGTTAACCTTGAGCAAATCACTCACCCTCTGGGACTCAGTTTCTTCACCTGTAAAATGGGGGTAATAACAGAACTCACCTCGTATGTTTTCCCGAAGATTGAACGAGGCGAGGCGATAGCTACTTACTGTGCATCACAGTGTCTAGTACATAAGAAACAGTAAGTGGTTGCTTTGTTATTGATCGCACATTTAAAGGTATTTTACAATGTACACGTATTTTTTATTTTAAAAATACATAAAATCAGACATTCCCAGAGAACAGACAGGAGAACCACTTAATTCATATTTATTTCACATTTGATCTGTAAACTTTTTATTTTAAAAAATCCACTGTCATTAGCAATGTGTGCTGACATTAGTCTTTCTTTAGTGAAATAAGAGTGCAGGCCTTAAATTGTCTCTGTCTAAAACATGTAGTAACGCAGATGTAAACACGAGGTCTCCACTCTCCTCCCCTGACTTTGGCAGTTCATCAATGACATGATCTCAACCAGAAAAGCAGGGAGGGAGAAGAGGACAACACTTTGATACCTAAGAGCTCTTGGGGCAGGAACAGTACTGTTTGGCAGGCCCATTTGTCTTTTCAAACTGTTTACCTTGGGCAAATTGTATCAGGTTTGCTTCTTCCACATAATTTCCACTCCTCTGTGTCTAAAAACAGCAGCTAAAAGATTTCCCCGTAGTCAGCACTTTCGGGGAGGGAGGGGTGCACATACACACAAGATAGAAACATACATATTCTTCTTCAAGCAGTGGCCCTGGAGGCAGAGAAGGGGCACCTGAAAGAGACAGTTTTAAAGTGAGTTACTGGAGCAAACGGTGCATCCAAGGATAATGGCTTTATACACAGGGCTGATGCAAGGCGGAAAGATTCATTTACTTCTGTCTTGGTCCATCATCGTAATATTTACACAGGAAAAGGCAATTATGCTGTTAGGCACAGGAAAAACAAAGAAATCTTTTCCTTGTCAGGAAATCTCAAAGCAGGTCCACGTCCAGAGACAGTCACCAGTTGCTGGTGAAAAGGACACAGAGGGACATAACACCAGAAAGGGGCTTGCATTGCAAAGGGGCTTGGCTTGAACCAGAGGTTGTGTCTTCCTGGAAGGCACATCTCCGTAGCCAGGATTCCAACACCAAAACCAAGGTCAAAGGACATCAGGGGCCACCCCTCCCCCCCATACTATCAAAAATAGTGTATATTTACAGTGAGGGGTGGGGAGCACGGGCAGGGCTGCCCTGAGCGGTTTCGTCTGTGTTTTGTTTTGTTTTGCTTTTTTTTTAAAAAAAAAAAAAAAAAAAGGAAAGCAGAGGTGGGTAGGAGAAAAAGTCAGGGGCTAGGTAACGCTCGCCCATTAACCCTTTGTGAGCCACGCCTCTGCAGTCCGGCGCTTGCTCTGAAAAGCTGTGAGGGCTGGACCAGGGAGGAGGGTGCAAACACCTTTAGGAAACAATACTGATCAGGGGTGGCCCACCGAGAAGCGCGCTCCAGGTCGGGAGTAACCCTAACACGGCGGGAAAGTGTGTGCTTGGCCCTCACGGCAAGAACTCTTCCTCTGGAGGGGCCGTGGACGCCCGCAGGAGGAAGCTCCCATTCGCAGCTCGACCCCCAGGCCGGGAAGCAGGAGACCGCAGGAGCCGGAGCCGGCTTCGAGGGCCGCGGGGCTGAGGGGCCGCGCCCCTGCGTGCCCGCCGCCTCACACGACCCGCTTCCGCTCGCCCCGGCAAAGGATCTTCTTGAAGGCGCGGCGGAAGTCGTGGTTGAAGATGGTGTAGATGACCGGGTTCAGCGAGCTGTTGCAGTAGCCGAACCAGAAGAAGAACTTGAAGAGCGTGGTCGGCACGGGGCAGCCGACGGCGGTGAGCGTGTAGGTGAAGAAGAAGGGGA